CTTCTCCCTTTTTGTCAGTGGGGCTTTGTAGGGCTGATTTGGGTATTTTTGGCTTTTTAATTTTTCTCTGGATGACCTTTTCTGCATGTCTGGCGTGTAACATCAATTCTTCAACATTGCAGGTTTCCCAGAGAATGTAGTGAGTTTTGATCTTTGCAGCAATTGCAGGCAGGAAACCGTTCAACAAATCAGCACATAAAAGTCGGACATACATTCCATCTTTATCTGTGTCGGGGTGAGGGCACTATGGAGGTTAAATTGTGTTTGATATCTGGCACGGAAATCATCTACGGACTCATCAGTCCTTTCTTTAATAGTTATTAACTGGGTTAAGTTAGGAGTTTCATTAACGTTTTGTTTTACATCTGTTGCCAAAATGTCAAACTTGAGTTTTAAGTCCCCAACCAGTTGTCCAGTCGCGGGAGGTTTTAGAAGGCTCGCTTGAGCCAGCTGGTCTTGTTCTTGGCTAATTAAGCGGTGGGAGTGACTCACCTCCATCATATCTGAGACCCACTTCTCTGACTGTTCTTCAGGTTTAAACGGGTGCATCCTTTCAGCCGGCGGAGCCGAAGGAGTTAGTTTTCTTTAGACGGATACATCTTTCCCTGCTTCGCCTTCGTTATCTTTTTGTTTCCCCTTACTTTTTCGGATATCTTCCAGTCTTTTATCTGTCTCATCTCGCCATATAATCGCTATCTTCAACTATTCTTCCTTAGTTAATTTCTTTTTGCCAGTGGCTGCCGCAACATTAAGTGTGTAAATGCTGACCAAATCATGCCACTGCTGACCCTTCAACTCTCCATCGATTTTGTACTTTTTGCGCCATTTTTCCGTAAATTTTAGCTATCTGGGTGTTTACGAGACATATATTTCATATCTCCCTCCAGTTTGTCTTTAGATGTGGTATTCCCCATTGTATCTAAGTTGTTTTGTTTACTGGTTTAGTAAAACAAGCTGGAAGAACTCCGATTAGTTCTAGTATGGAAATTATCAGAAATACAATCAAACTGCAGATGAGGGCGTATAATAAAATGTTTTTTTCAGATAACATTTGGCAGCCACTGAAGCAAATCAACACTCCTCCGTTTCTGTCTTCCACACACACAGCGCTTTGGCCGAGACACACACACACTCACAGCGATATGGCAGCCGAACCTGTCACACAGCGAAACGGCAGCCGAACCTGTCACACGTAACACTCTCATAGTCCCCGATACACGCACACCTCCACACACACACACACACACACACACACACACACACACACACACACACACACACACACACACACACATGCTACCTGGACCTGCAGGTTTTTCACACACACGCAGACGCAATAGGACGGCAGCTGAAACAAAGTTCACCGCTGAGTTTAACACTTTAGCACAGATTTAAAACCACAATACAACACAGAAACACGATGACCACAATGTGACAACCGACACCAATATTTCAGATGCCAGCAACGAGTGATAACAACACCATAGGACCACGAAGATCAGGCAAGCTTGCACAACCCGAAATGGGACGCAGTCCACAAAACCACGAATGACACAGACAACAGAATGACAAAAGGTGAATTTAGAACTATTTGGGTTCCTTGAGCCAATTATAACAGTGATTAACTTTTGGGTACCTCTGTTGCACCATGAAATATTTAAACAATCCAAGCAACAGTGTGATTACAGAAACTATTTTAACCTCTTAAGTGAACTGCAAATCCAACCAAATTACTGCCCACTAAAACCGTAGTGGGTTGCCTGTGTTACAGTGACACAGGCTGATTACAACCTCCCTCTGTTTACTCTCTCTCAGGCAGAGGCAAACAAGTCCAGGCTATGGTCCAGTGGCTCTCTTTTCCTAGCCCTTGGCTGGGGCATGAAACATCTTTCGTGCGAGAATGGCAGACACAACACCAGCGTAAAACACACTGCCAACCAGTTGGCAAAAAAAGGGTGCAATTAATTAGGTACTCACTCTCCTTCTGCGTGACGGATTCGCCCTGAATCCGGTGCGCGAGAGCTGTAGGTGGGAGTCCGTCTGCGGAGCTAAACAGCCGGCCGATGGAGCAATCCAGCCACCTGGGCTTTGATGAGAAAGTGGCGCCGTACGGCTCCCCGGAGGCGATCTCCCACTGAAGGCTCTAAGTGGGTAATTTTTTATTAATCCAGTATTACCTCAAAGAAAGTTCAAAACACACACAGAGGGATTAGATTGATAATTTGGTCATTTGTAATCAGCCGACAACCAACAACAACAAATACTTTCCAAAGGGTGAGAGAAATCATACACACCAGACGGAGGTCAGTTTGCTCTCACAGTCAGGCGAAGCCTGGAGCTTCATTTTATTTTGGAACACACACACACACAAAGTTAAAGATAAGCACACACACACAAATTCTTCACGGACAGTCAACCGAGAAGCACTGAGATGGTGCCTGCAGGCGCTAGTCATAATCAACACATTGGTCTGGATTTTAGCCTTCTCAGGAAGTTCTAATAATAATAAAAGGTACTGAAGTGACGTCAGCCTTCCTGCAACAATTTAAATGTAAATAAGTTTGATGAACCTCTGTTTGATAGAAAAACACCAGATATTTACACAGCAAAATCAGTTTTTACCCATCAGTAACCTCCCCCTCGCCAGATGGTATGTTCTAACATTTCCCTTGGGCGGCAAGTACGAAAATTCACAGTCAGAATGCATGGGAAACAGACGCTTGATCATACTGAGAGAAAAGTTTTAGGTAGCAAGAGGGTTAAGGTTAGGATGAGGGAGAGGGGAAGGTTATAAATAGTGAAACGTTAAGGTTTAGGTGTGGTTAAATGAGCTGGTTCAGTGCCGCATTTAAGGTTTAGGTGCGGTTAAATGAGCTGGTTCGGTGCTGCATCGGTTAAATGAGGGTTAAGGTTAGGATGAGGGTGAGGGGAAGGTTATAAATAGTGAAAAGTTAAGGTTTAGGTGCGGTTAAATAAGCTGGTTCAGTGCCGCATCAGCGGATATCTCATCACGTCAGTTTTACGCTGCACTGGGATCTGCAGTTACAAAAGGGAAAAACCCCTTTTCGCACATAAGTAACGAAAAAGGGCACTTTTGACATCAGGGGTCTGACGTGGAGGGTGGCTGACCAAGCGTTTGATTTTGACGGGCTGGGAGTGAGAATGTGTTGACTTGGATGAAGTAGCCCTTCTAAAGTGTAAACGCTGTACAGCAGTGATGTCACCTTGCCTCTATGATTACACATGCGTGTTCATACTCATCTGCCAAGTGTGCGGAGAGAAAGTGGAAGAAGGACAAGCATCATGTTACCTTAGAGATTTTGCTAGGCTCTTTAGCTGAGTATCAGGCTGCGGTTAAGACTCAGTTTGTGTTTAAGCTTGTGTTTGACAAGCCTCGCGTTCTTTTTAGCTCTTTGAAGTCTCTCCTGAATCCGTGTGATTCCTCTGATCTGGTTTCCTCTGTTGGATTTTGTGAAATGTTTTTAAACGTTTTTATCAAAAAAGTGAGTGCTCTCAGGTCATCTTCCTCTGGTCCCATTAGTGACCCTGCCCTGCACCCAGTGTCTCCTGGTGTTTTTGACCACTTTGAACCTGTCTTTCTCACACAATTTTTGGAACTAGTTAGAAAACTTAATCCTTCTTTTTGCCTAAATGACATGTTCCCTCCCAGGCTACTCAAGGAGGTATTTAGTGTCATAGGAACATTTCTCCTCTGTGCCTCCATATGTCTCCCACATAGACATATGGGGGGGTGTCGTAGAACAATCTTCCTTCCCTCAGGTACTTTCCATGGTGCTGCATCCACCGAAACCGGAAACCCACATTTCTAGACACCAGTCGTTATTTTCTAGTTCATCTATCGTCATCCGTGACACCAAGTGGTGTTTTTCTTTTTGGGACTCTGGTAGTTTGTCCTAAAGCTGAAGTTGTAGCAGCCAGCTTTTTCTCCTGTGATATTTTTATTTTATTTTATCATTCACGCCAGCGGAAAGGCTGTGGTTCGGCAAGACCGATAACCAGATGGTTCAATAGCTGCTTTCGGTCTGAGCCGTGTTATTGGCAGAGGTTTTTAGACTACTGCGAGAGAACCACTTTATTTTATTGTTGTAATTTTCTAAATTTATTTATAACTTTACCCTGTCAGAAGGTTATTAATAGGGATGAAAATATTTGAAGCTACATTGTTTTCCAAATTTACTATTGCAGCTTTGTGACCAAGAAATCTACAAAATATTGTGTTTAATTAAAAGCAGGATAATCTTGCTACGTGTGCTCTTTGTGTGGATCGTTTTATGCTTTATCCAACGACACTACTCAGCGTGACTTGGGAGGGTGCAGTTTGGTCTGGCTGCCATTTCCAACACCACAATTTGGTATCTTCCCCCTACTTTCCCTGTACTTTTCACTCACCTCGTGCTTTTTTGTCTTGGGGCGACGGTGGCACAGGAGTTAAGTGCTCGCCCCGCAATCGGAAGGTTGCAGGTTCGAGCCCCGCTCAGTCTGTCGCTGTCGTTGTGTCCTTGGGCAAGACACTTAACCCACGTTGCCTGCTGGTGGTGGTCGGAGGGACCGGTGGCGCCAGTGCTCGACAGCCTCGCCTCTGTCAGTGCGCCCCAGGGCAGCTGTGGCTACATTGTAGCTCATCCCCACCAGTGTGTGAATGTGTGTGTGAATGGGTGACTGACTGATTGTGTTGTAAAGCACCTTGGGGGGTTCCAGGACTCTAGAAGGCGCTATAGCAAATACAGGCCATTTACCATTTACCATTTGAGAAAAGACACCCCGCTCCTCCACTTTCTGTCACGGAGCTGGCAGGGAAAACCAACTACTCTGAGGTGAGCTGAGTTAACCCATGCTGTACTGAGCTGTTTCAGGCTGAGTAGTGCTGTTAGAAAAGGGCTGTATGATTGCAGGGAGAAAAAGAACCAGTAGAAGATGTTTTTCTCCATCTAAAGGTTTTTATTGCTAATGATTCTTTGACTTTTCTCTCTTAAATGCAGGCTGTGTGCAGGAGTCGAGCATTTCTATGTGGATTTATGTGTTACTTGGAAACATCCTACGTGGGATTGGAGAAACTCCAGTTCAGCCCCTGGGAATCTCCTATATTGATGATTACGCACAGTCTGAGAATGCTGCTCTTTATATTGGTAATCTCCTCTCAACTCACAGCTAATAGCTTGGATCTGTATGTGAAAGTATTTGAATATCTTGGAATTTTATGTTCAAACAGCATCTTAAAGATGATGCATGAAGTCTCTTGGGTAACTTGACTTGAATGCAGGTAATTTACTGGAATCTTTGTTTTCAGGCTGTGTCCAGACCATTGCTGTTATTGGTCCTGCATTTGGATTCTTGCTGGGGTCACTTTGTGCAAAGCTCTATGTAGACATTGGCTATGTTGACATGGGTGAGTAGATCGATGTTGGATTAATTGATGTGGACATGGTGAAGGGGAAATTATGATTTACATTTGACTGCTGAAAAAGGAATTTATTAATTCAATTTTATTCGTAACCGACTGGAAGACCAGAGTGCTGGACACAAAAGCCATAGTATCACATAGTACAAATCATCATATTAGACAGTAATACTAAAAAAAAGTAAAAGTTTTGTATAATAAAATACTAAAAAACAATAATAAATAGTATGTTCACATATTGCATGCTCCAAAAGATAAACAATAATAATGTGATGTTGATCTTGACTTAGAACAGTAGCCTGTCTAATGCTCAAAGGCAATATTGCAAGTTCTCCCAATTAGAAATGAGAGAGGTCTAAAATTGACATTGTAGGGACAACACTGTGAGAGACCGCATTTAAAAATAAAGTCAGGAAATCACATTGTATGACTTTTAAATAATTTATTTGTGTTGCACTGCTGCATGTAAGTATATAACACCTGAAAATCAGCAAGAATTCTGCCGCTAAATGATCTGTTACTCTGACTTTAAAAAGTCCACCTCTAGTCCACTTATTAATCTAAATTAGCAACACATTCTCACTCCCAGCGCATCAAAAACAAACGCTTGGTCAGCCCCCTGATGCCAAAAGTGCCCTTTTTCGTCACTTATGTGCGAAAAGGGGTTTTTCCCTTTTCTGACTGCAGATCCCAATGCAGCGTAAAACTGACGTGATGGGATGTCCGCAGCCAGGGCACCAAACAAGATCATTGTACCTCGACCTAACCTCATCCTCTTGCTATTTAACCTTCCCCTCACCCCTATCCTAACCTTAACCATCTTGCTAGCTAACACGTTAGTGATGTGTCGGTCGCTCAAAAACCTGACTCTATGAAGTGAACGGCGGGAGCGGCCTCGTCATTGGTCGGGTTTGGACCGAGACAACGTGAGGGGGAGGTTTCAACTACCATGGTGGACGTTAAAAGTAGAGGATATTTGTAACCTCCCCCTTGCCAGATGGTATGTTCTAGCGTTCCCCTTGGGCGGCAAATACGAAAATTCACAGTCAGAATGCATGGGAAACAAACGCTTGATCACAGTGAGAGACATTTTAGGTAGCAAGAGGGTTAAGGTTAGGATGAGGGTGAGGAGAAGGTTATAAATAGCAAAACGTTAAGGTTTAGATGTGGTTAAATGAGCTGGTTCGGTGCCGCATCAGCGGACATCCCATCACGTCAGTTTCACGCTGCATTGGGATCTGCAGTCAGAAAAGTGGAAAACCCCTTTTCGCACATAAGTAACGAAAAGGGCACTTTTGGAGTCAGGGGTCTGACTCGGAGGGTGGCTGATCAAGCGTTTGTTTTTGACACACTGGGAGTGAGAATGTGTTGAAATTAGTCACCTGTCTGAGCTTATTAAAGACGCCACCGTCATTCAGACTCCAACTCCTGCCATGGGCAAGACCAAAGAGCTGTCAAAAGACACCAGAGACAAAATTGTGGAGTTCCACAAGGCTGGAAAGGGCTACAGGGCAATTGCCGACCGGCTTGGTGAAAATAAATCAACTGTTGGAGCAATTGTTAGAAAATGGAAGAGGCTAAATACGGCTGTTAGTCTCTGTCAGATGGGGTCTCCATGCAAGATCTTACCTTGTGGGTATCACGGATGATAAGAGGAGTGAGGAATCAGCAGGAACTACACAGGAAGAGCTGGTCAATCACACGAAGAGGGCTGGGACCACAGTGCCACAGGTCACTGTCAGTACTCAGTAGAACACTATGCCGTCATGAGTTAAAATCATGCATTGTACGGAACGTTCCCCTGCTCAAGCCATCACATGTTCAGCCAATTATTTACCTTCATTCCATCAGGCAGATGACTGATCAGCCAGAGAGCTTGAACTGGACTTTAACGGAATATTATTAGACGTTTATGTTTTTTTTTTGTTGTTTTTTTTTTAGCTTTTTCATGCTGATATGCTTACCCCTTTACAGAGACGGTCACCATCACCCCTCAGGATGCACGCTGGGTGGGAGCATGGTGGTTAGGCTACCTCATTGCTGGTGCCATCACCCTCATGTCTGCTGTACCTTTCTGGTTCCTGCCCAAGTCTCTGCCAGTGCCTCTAGTTAAACATGATAGTAGCTGCTCTCCAGACCAGACCAGGTTTATCAAAGATTCTCCAGCCATGAACCACAAGATCAGACCAGAGGAGCCAGCTAATTTACATCTAATGTTAAAGGGTATGATAGACGCATCACATTGATTATACATAAACAAAGAATGACACTATTGCTATTTCTTTCTGCAGTTCCTGGCATTTTCTGTAATATTCAGTCATTTTGATTCATTTGAATTATCTTTCACAGAATTTGTACCAACTTTGAAGAATCTTCTTGGAAATCCTGTGTACATTATCTACCTGTGTGTGACAATCATTCAGTTCAACTCTCTCATTGGTATGGTCACCTACAAGCCCAAATACATTGAACAGCACTACGGCCAGTCAGCATCAAAAGCCAATTTACTTATGGGTGAGCAGAATTTAGAGACATTTTAAAATGTTTGTGTTAGCAGAGTGTCTGATCCTGTGCTGAAAGTCGGATGTGAGCTGGATGACCTTCACGAGTGTTTTATGATCCAGATTTTGATCATCTTTCTATCCTCTGGGTTCTACTTGAACAAATTCTGCAGCTTCGTACTGGAAACCAATTGTACCTTCTGTTTTTTGTATTTTTGAAATGCATGCTGATATAAATTGATTATATGGACTAAACAGTGTGATCTTTATCTACTACAAAGTTTTATAAGATGTCTGATGATTTGAAACATCGTCATTTTTATCTTTTGCAGCAAGGCTTCCCATTAAATGAAATATAAATGAGACTACTTTGATATGAATGAGTGTTCTGGCTTTGATCTTTTTCATAAATTCTTTTTGCTGCTGCCTTTTTTGAGTTATTTTCCAGATTTTTAAATTCTTTATATTCTGTGGTTTGGCTAGGCATGATTAATATTCCAGCTGTGGCCCTTGGGATGTTTTCCGGAGGGGTCATCATGAAGAAGTACAAGCTGGATGTTCTGGGAGCAGCTAAATTTGCTTTTGGGACTTCCTTACTGGGCTACTTCCTGTCACTTTTTTTCCTGGCCATGGGCTGTGAAAACACCAAGGTGGCTGGCATAACAGTCTCCTACACTGGGTATGTATACTCATTTACATAGTCTCACACAGCCGTTTTACAAGGACAATGAAAAACTAGTTAGAAAAATACTTTTAAAAACTGTATTTTATTCTTCCTTAAACTGTCAAACTGTGATTCACTATTTGTCAACAAAAAACTATTTGGGTTATTTTGTTCTGAAGAACATAGTACTGCTATGTTTTTTTTTAAATAAAATGACATCCAAGACCTGTGATGGACTGGTTAAATGTCCAGGGTGTACCCCGCCTGATTGCCCATTGACCGCTGACATAGGCACCACCCCCACCCACCCCCCCTCCCCCACCCCCCCACCCCCCCCAACGACCCTACGTGGACAAGCGGGTTCAGAAAATGGATGGATGGATGGATGGACATCCAAGACTTTTTTTCCACTTTCGTATTGAAGACTCTCTAAGATTTTCTTTACTTTGTTTATTATGTCTTTAAACAGAAAATTCACTTCACTTAAATCAATAATGCCTCATCAGAGGTGTAAACATTAATATGAAACAAAAGCTTTATTGCCCACCAACATAAGGTGTACATTTTAGGACATCCTCAGGTCTCAGGTGTTGGACGTCAGACCATAGTCCCACTAAAAGTCCCAGGTGTCATTCAAAAATCCATCAGATTTTTGACTAAATAGTTTCAGACAAAATAGTCTCAGGAAAAGTTCTTTGAGACAATAATATCTTATAAAACATAAGCTGGCAATCCAAACTGTATCCAGTTAAGTCTCACGGCCAGGATCAAAGGCATGAAACAAAAAGGGAAAGGGTGGGAGCTCTCGGTTCAATCTTATAATTTTATTTTTCTTGCTTTTAATAAATAAAAAATCCATCAGACAAAAAGGTCTCAGGAAAAAGTCTTTCAAAAAAAAAAGATCTCAGGAAAAAAATCTACCTGACATAAAGGCCTCAGGAAAAAAGTCTGTCCATAAAAGGTCTCAGGAAAAAAGCCGTCAGACAAAAAGGCCTCAGGAAAAAGTATTTTATAAAAAAAAGATCTCAGGAAAATTTTTTACCTGACATGAAGGCCTCAGGAAAAAAGTGTCAATAAAAGGCCTCAGGAAAAGGTCTTTGAGACAATAAGATTTTATAAAATCTCCATTAGTCAAAAAGCCTCAAGAAATGCCTGTCGACAAAAGGTTTCAGGAAAAATATCCAGTCAAAAATGTCTCAGGAAATAGTCTGTCAGAAATAATTTTGACTTGGGTTTTTGAGATACAAACATCAATCTATCCATTTTCCTCTGTTTCTCCGGGGTCGAGTCACGGGGCAGCAGTGAGAATATGAGTGTGTATGTGTGTGTGTGTGAGCGAGCGCAGGCACGCACGCATAGATTATGTGAGTATGAGTGTTTAATGTAAGAGAAGAATGTAGGCATGTGTGAGGAGAATATATCTAATGTGAGAGTAACAGAATAAATTATGGCTTGCACGCCCCCTCAAACTGTAGACTTGTGTTCACAGACTTGTAGTTGAAAATTTTACACACAATTTTATTTCACTTACACGTGAGTTTTTCTTACAAGTACACATTTATCTTCACAAGTCTGCGCATGCTGGTGTGCAGCTTCTCACATTCTACTGCACATACACACAGTTTTCAAGCTCAAATCACGTTGTACAAACACACAAAACAGATCTACAAGTTTGTGCATTTAGATACATATTGGCCTTTATACATTTGTCTGTACTTTGCATTCTAATGAATTAATATAATTTACTGGAATTTTCTTTTTTCCACACGTAGAATGGATAACCGGTCGTATCAGGAACTGTCTCTATTCTCCGACTGTAATTCTGGATGCATGTGCTCAAGAAAAGAGTGGGATCCAGTGTGTGGAGAGAACGGGGTCACCTATGTTTCCCCTTGTTTAGCTGGGTGCACGTCGTCCATTGGTTTGGGAAGAAACATGGTCAGACACATACTTTAACACAATTTCTTATTGTTTGACAAGAAGCCAACAGAGCATGACATTTAGACTTGATTTAGATCTCACATATTGAGAATCAGAATTAGCATGTGACATTTACAAGACAAGTGTTCTCTGCTGTGCAGCAACACCCTCCTACCCCATTGTTTTCATTTCTGTCAGGTGTTTGAGAAATGCAAGTGTGTAGCAGCTGCTAGCGTCCAACCAGCCAACCTAACTGCCAGTTTAGGCCAGTGTCTGCCCAGAAACAACTGTGACAAAGTATTTCCGTACTTCATGGCTCTGTCAGTCCTAAGCTCCTTTATCATCTCTCTTGGGGGAACACCTGGCTTCATGCTGCTTGTCAGGTCAGTTAAAGACCTGAATATTAATTAAACCTTTTGTTGTAGTTTTGTTATTTTTACTTTAGTGTCCCCACACATAATGTTGTTCCTCTGAGTAGTAATAATCAGTGTCAGTCCCATTTTTCCAGTATAGTCAAACTGAAAGATGTGTCTTGTGTCCATAGGTGCATTAAACCTGAGTTAAAATCTCTAGCTGTCGGGATCCACACGCTAGCTACACGCACCTTGGGTAAGAACATTTACTTTGTACAGACATTCTCAAACATTAGTAATATTGTTGAGAGGGGAAATACTTCTACTTCAACTACAGGTCCTTCTCAAAAAATTAGCATATTGTGATAAAGTTCATTAGTTTCTGTAATGTACTGATAAACATTAGACTTTAATATATTTCAGATTCATTACACACAACTGAAGTAGTTCAAGCCTTTTATTTATTGTTTCTAATATTGATGATTTTTGCATACAGCTCATGAAAATCCAAAATTCCTATCTCAAAAAATTAGCATATTTCATCCGACCAATAAAAGAAAAGTGTTTTTAATACAAAAAAGGTCAACCTTCAAATAATTATGTTCAGTTATGCACTCAATACTTGGTAGGGAATACTTTTGCAGAAATGACTGCTTCAATGTGGCGTGGCATGGAGGCATTCAGCCTGTGGCACTGCTGAGATGTTCAATTAAATTCAATTTAATAATACTTTATTAACCCCAGAGGGAAATTGATTGCTGTAGTAGCTCATAATAATAATAATAATAATAATAATAATAATAATAATAATAATAATAATCAAGTCATCAAAGAGTTATTGTATATTACAATGGCTGTTGGCAGGAAGGATCTCCAGTAGCAGTCAGTGTCGCAGCAAAACTGAAGAAGCCTCTGACTGAAGACACTCTTCCGTTGTTGGACAGTCTTGTGAAGAGAATGCTCAGGGTTGTCCATAATTTTCTTGATACTCTAGAGAATCCTTCTTTGCATTATCTCCTCCTTATGGAGGCTGTAGGGTTTGAGAAATTGAGTGCTTTAAGAGCTCAATATATATTACCTCTACTTATGACCAATAAGCTGTGATACAATATAGAATATCAACCTGCTTGGTCTTTACTGTGTTTAATAGAAGATTCTACAATTCTTTGTTTTATTCAGGGATTGTAACACTTCGTTTTGATTCAGGACAGAGTCAGTTTTTAAAAGTAAGAATTTATTCACAAACAATTAAAACATGACAGGTTAACCAATATTCACTGTGAGTGGATGGATCTAGATGGAGTAGATGTGATGCATGAAACCTTTGTGTGAATGCGTTGTCATCAGAACCTCTGTATCTAGGAAAGCTGAGTTCTGGGTGTAAAAGAATGTAGTATGCGTGGAGCTATGAAGTTGATTCTTATCAAAAACACATCAGACGCAATCACACTGTGTTTTACCTCATCCCTTCGGAGACCCTCTTCACGGATCAGGAGGTCATCGAGGTCGGATGACCTCTTCATACCCAGGTCCAGTAGATTGACCACAGCACCGACTCCTCCCGTCCAGAGATGTTGCCAGGCACACAGGTTGGATGGAACTGTTTGCGTTTGGACCCTTAAGGAGTCAGGACAATATCAGCTTTTCCTGCAGGAACTGTTTGCTGTGTCAGCTTGCAACAACCTTGACAGTGTGTCAAAGCTGTTTCTTAGTTAAAGACTTCACCATGGACGGCCGTTTCCGTAGCTTCCTCTAGAACTCTAAATGCTGAGTGATGAGAGCTGGAATGTGACTCCAACTCGGACAAACTGCAACAGCAACTGCTTAATCATCAGAGTGATCCTGTTTTAATGTTCTCATGTTATGATTTGTGTAGCCAACCAGAGGTTGACATGTTGAGGAATATTAACAAGACAACCTCAGAAAACACGCCTTTTTTGATACCGGATGCTCTGATCTGGGATAAAGAAATATCTATGTGTCACGCGTTTGACTTCACTTTTACTTTGTCCTTGTGTGAGTGTAAAAGGTGATGACCTTGTCATTTCAACATCCTGAAACATATAAATCTTTCAATGTGATCATAACATGACATTCATTTCAAACTTCAATCACTCAAGCACAGATTAATGAAAGCATTTCATTATATTATAATTATTATAAGTAGCAATAAACAAACATTTATTTAATGATTATCTAATTTATGTTTTAAAAGTTCATATTTAATTCAAGAAATCATTCTTTGATTTAGCAACTGATCCGAGCTGCGAGTTTTCACTTATTCAGAGGCATGAAGAATCCTGTAGGACAATAAGGGAAGCTTGGGCCTTGAGGAGAGAACATTATTGTTGACAATACGTTATCTGTGTTCAGAGCTGCAGAGAGGCTCTGAGCTCCAAATGATGGGATGAAAGCAGGCAGATTAAAGGGAACACATGCAGTCTCGTGTCTCCATTTTGACCAGATGTTGAAGGGTCAGACTGTACCTAAAAACTGACCATTGCTGGACATTACAAGGCCCAGGATGATTTGATATCGGCCTTAAGCTCATTCAGCGGTTTGGTTATTGCGTCTCTCAACTTTCTCTTCAGGAGGGTTGTCAGGCCAATTGAGCACAGTCATGCCATGGTCAGTAAACCATTTATCAGTGGTTTTGGCACTGTGAGCAGGTGCCAGGTCATGCTGAAAAATGAAATATTCATCTCCATAAAGCTTTTCAGCAGATGGAAGCATGAAGTGCTCCAAAATCTCCTGATAGCTAGCTGCTTTGACCCTTAAAAACACAGTGGACCAACACCAGCAGCTGACATGGCACCCCAGACCATCACTGACTGTGGGTGGTTGACACTGGACTTCAGGCATTTTGGCATTTCCCTCTGCCCAGTCTTCCTCCAGACTCTGGCACCTTGATTTCCTTATCACATGCAACATTTGATTTCATCTGAAAAAAGTACTTTGGACCACTGAGCAACAGTCCAGTGCTGCTTCTCTGTAGCCCAGGTCAGGCGCTTCTGCCGCTGTTTCTGGTTGAAAAGTGGCGTGACCTGGGGAATGCGGCACCTGTAGCCCATTTCCTGCACACGCCTGTACACGATGGCCCTGGATGTTTCTACTCCAGACTCAGTCCACTGCTTCCGCAGGTCCCCCAAGGTCTGGAATCAGTCCTTCTCCACAATCTTCCTCAGGGTCCTGTCACCTCTTCTCGTTGTGCAGCGTTTTCTGCCACACTTTTTCCTTCCCACAGACTTCCCACTGAGGTGCCTTGATGCAGCACTCTGGGAACAGCCTATTCCTTCAGAAATTTCTTTCTGTGTCTTACCCTCTTGCTTGAGGGTGTCAATGATGGCCTTCTGGACAGCAGTCAGGTCGGCAGTCTTACCCATGATTGCAGTTTTGAGTAATGAACCAGGCTGGGAGTTTTTAAGAGCCTCAGGAATTTTTTGCAGGTGTTTAGAGTTAATTAGTTGATTCACATGATTAAGTTAATAGCTTGTTTAGAGAACCATTTCATGATATGCTAATTTTTTGAGATAGGCATTTTGGGTTTTCATGAGCTGTATGCCAAAATCATCAATATTAGAAACAATAAAAGGCTTGAAATACTTTAGTTGTGTGTAATGAATGTAAAATATATGAAAGTCTAATGTTTATCAGTACATTACAGAAAATAATGAACTTCATCACAATATGCTAATTTTTTTAGAAGAACCTGTACATGTTGACCGCACTAGTTGTTATCGTCACAAGCTGATAAAGGAGTGTTTCTCTAACTGTAGTTGTGTGCATCCAAACAGACGCAGAGCAGAACCGTATGAGGCCAGAACAGTCTCAATAAGAATTAAGTCACACAACGTTTTCCACAAATGCACATGTTCATTCAGAAATCCACACTCTGTGTTTCACAAATGTAATTCGGAGGAACACAAATGCACACACTCATTCGTAAATTCACACTCTTTGACTCATAAATATAATGTGAAAAAATAAGTCACGCAACATTTTCCACAAATGCACACGCTAATTCTGAAGTTCACACTCTGTGGTTCACAAATACAATTTGTAAAAACACTTGTAATATAAACTCACATATTATACGAATTCCTGAATGTGCATTTACGAACAGCTTCTCATTTGTGAACCATTCTGCGTTTGTGAGTGAAATCTGTGTGGTGCATTCATGAAATGCTTCTCATTTGTGAACCTTCCTGCATTCGTGAGAGAAATCGGTGTGCTGAATTTTGAGACTCTCCTAACGTCGCAGGTCAACAAACGTCACCATTGGCTGATGAATCTGTCAATCAAATGTATGATTCTGCCAGGGCTGTTCGCTTTCAGCCAATCATATGGCTCCTTATGTTACGGAACAGATCTGCTGTGCGCATAAGTCGGACACAATTTCCTGCTTGTGTAGCTCGGGGGTGACGATGGCTGAAAATGTCGCGTTAGCGTTCACACTTGTTTAATTTTCAACTTTATTTCTGGTGCCTGTTAGCAGCTAAAACACATCCTCACGTGCTTGTGGATATCATATGTTGTATATGGAGACATGACTGTAATAATAAGTAAAGGTTAGCAGCTGTAGCTTCAGTGTGCTCATAGGAAACGTGACAACAGAACACAAAACATATTTCTCTTTAAAGCCTATATAGTTGTCATCATCAACGTGATTTACAGAATACATGTGACCAACTAACATTTCATGTTCTACCACCGGATGTTTGGATCAAAATGTGAACCAATCAGATCTTAGATCAGGTGAGAGCCAGGCGTTTCCCGTCATCCTCTAGGTTTTGCAGCCAGTGGAGAGCAACTGCAGCGCCTTGCTCCAAAATCTGCGGCCGCCTTGATCTCACAAGGTTATTGTTGCCTACATATGCATGACGACAGAGCAAGTCGGCGTCAAGTCGGACACAAATCTAACCGGCATGCACTGCTCGCCGATCACCGCTGATCTAATCTGCGCAGTTAAGGGGATGGAATTAATCCAATAGGCGATTGCTCAAAGGGCTATGCTATACTCATAGAATCTGGGGTTACAATACATAACCAACGTTCCACCCTATGGGTGGCCTCTTAATAATCTTATTCAGAAAAATTATGCATTTTTACTATGTGAAAGCAAACCCTGTTAGGGGCAGAGACCTCTTGAAGCTCATATTAAACATTGTCTGCAGAGAAGGTAAGAGAAGCTAATAAATCATCAGGCCTATTCCATGGGAGTGACTCTGAAAAGGAGCAAAACCTCCAGCTCTTTAT